CATCACAGATACTGTAACCTTAGCAGCAGATTACTGCATATGCTGGTAACACGGATGTGCACGCACCTCTCGTCAAAGAATATATTGCCGTTGGATTGGACTATAAAAGTCTTGTGATATGTGTGCATGCATGTGTGTGTGTGTGTGACTGAACGGGTTGTAAGTATTGTTTGTTGTCTTAATGGTGCCCTTAGCGCATGGACTGATGCACGTCCACTTATCTGTGCTGTAGATGAACTGTTAGGTCATCTTATCCTCCCAGCTGATAAAGTTCAAATATTTCATCAAACCTGACGTTTGAATCTTGACTTTTTAACAGATCATTGATGTCAGAATGATTCATGAAAATCGATGAAGCTTTTAAATAACGTACAACTTAAAAACGTGATTAGAGTTGTGATGCTAGCTTTATAATATCACAAGGTCACAGTATAGGAAGTAAAACATAAAAAACATTTTTTATAATACACTGCCTCTTGACTCATCCTCTTATGACACATGTTTTCATTATTTTTATTTAAAGCTTCTAGAATCTCCCAGTTTCTCTTAAATAGCTTTTATTAACTCTGTTGTCCTTGGACACCAGATTGCCCTGAAAGCTTTGCAAGCAAACAGCTACTTGTGTATCTTGTTTGAGTGACAACACTGTTTTTGTTTTCCTCCTTTGCTCTAAACCATATTTGTTCCATGTTTATCTGTTCTTACAAAGTGCAGTGAACGGAGAAAACCTGTATTAAATAGCATCTTTTCCCTTTTAAAATGGCAACAATCCTTCGAAAAAAAAAAACTCTGAAAGGTTATTTGTGTCCTTGTGAGATCCAAAGCTAACTCCATTATTTGAGAACCAGTTTTGTCCTTTAATATTTACTTATTAAATTTTGCTCAGTGAGGTTTCTAACTTCATGAAATGGTACATAAAATAATACTCATGATAAGAAGCCAAATTTGCCAAATCCAGAGATCTCAAAGTTTACCCAGAGGCAGCTGTTGGTAACACTTTGTACGGCTCTTGAGCTGTAATATAGCAGCATAGATCAAAAAAGAAGGAGCATCTCTCTTCAATATGAATATCTGTGTAAGTAATAGGGGAGACTGCTGGTTAAAACAGCTCTAAACCAGCAAACATATACCAAGGTAGCTCTGAGCAAACACATAAAAAACACTAACAGTGTTTAGTGTGTGTGTATTTTTTCAGTGTGGCCTCCCTAAAGTGCTTTGAGGACACCTGATCTAAATGCTAACGAAAGGTGCTTCATTTTATTTTACTGGACCATTCTTTGTGAAAGGAAAGGATGTTTAAGTGCAGTCAGACTGATCCCTGCTGTTGTGTGTCCCTGTATGAACTGTACTTTACATCTTTCCCTGGTCACACGCGAACTTGCCAAAGTATTTGCACACTTCTGTTTGTTTCTTTGGCAAAGATAAAATCCTCTTACAAACAAAGTGACGTGTAGCTTTATTCCCTAATCAGCTCAAATCTTTGATTACTGAGAAAACAATTTCCCCACAGAATGCCTCACATTGTTTTATTTATAGAGTTCAGTCAAATTAGGAAGAGTTATTTTATTTTGCACAAAACAATACAAAATATTAAAATGTACAAGAATGTATATTTATAACTATTATTCTTAAAATATTATTCCGAATTTATATATATATGTTAAAGAAGATAAGTTCTTAAGTCACATTTCGCACAATTTTACTAAAAATGTCTTGCTCTGAATTGGTGAGTAAGGTGATTGGATATTAAAGTTATATATATATATATATATATATATATATATATATATATATATATATATTTTTTTTTTTCTATGTTTTATCGAACATGAAACATTGTCATGCTCTTTAGGTAAGATCCTGGCTTACTGGGATATGTTTGCTATTGATTTGTTAAATGCTTACAAAATCCTTTCACTTTGCTTTCACACCCTCCCTGTTTTTCTCTTTTACTATATAAAAATAAAAGTGTAGAAAAACCCCTGATTATCATTAAAACTGCCTGTTTCCTTTGAAACTGGTTGATTACAGTTTTTTTTGGGTCAAGGCTATTCACAGTTCCTTTGCTACATAGCTTTTACTTTGAAAGTTTGACAGTTTGGAAGAAATGTCAAATGAAAAAAATGCTTTATCTGAAACATTAAAACCAGCAAAAAAGGAAGACTGCTACTTTGTGTTAAATGGTGCAAATAACTTGCACTTTTGTTTTTACTGAGTTTTAGGCCAGTTCTGTTAGGAGCAGTGCAGAAGGGATCAAGAGAAAAGAGGTTTTCAGCTAGTGTGCAGAGTCTACCTTATTGAATCTGCTGGTGAAAGAAAGTGTTGACACTCATTGTCTTTTTTTACCCTTTCTCCTAAGTCCCTCTGTGTCAAATGCACCCTTCCTTCAAAAGCCTCGAGTCCAGGCGTCCTCTCTCCCTCCCCCTCCTAGCTCTATCTTTCTCTCTGTGTGCCTCAGCTCACGTACACACCCTCCTGGAAGGGCATTGTTTGCACAGAGTACCAATGTAGAGCTTTTCAAACACCCTTTACCTCTGCTGAGTTCATCTCAGTCTAGGCTCCAAGGTCAAAAGCGTGATTATCTGCTTGTATCACACTATTTCAGTTCAAGCCAATAGCACAAAACACCATAATTATCATTGTTTTGTGAGATTATATTCTGCCCCTATCCTAGTTGTGGGTACATTTTCAAAAATCTCTGATGGCATTTTAAGTCTGTTTTGTGTAGTTTTTTTCTCTTGTTTTAGACGCTGGTGCAATAATCTCTGCAGTTTCATTATGTTCTGCTCGAATCGTGTCCTAGCTGATTAATCAGCTGACTGGCATTATGCGTAGCACACTAAAAGGACAGAAATACAAAGGAAAGAGAGATAACTAATAACCGTGCCTCCAGTGTCACCCCTCAGTGTGACAGGGGTTTTGTTTGCCTTCAGGGGTAACTAACCAGTGGTGTAACTGCTAAATTGTAACTGACATCGCATTAACATGAGAAGCTTGGCTGTCACTGTTCTTCTCTTTTAGCTTTTTGTGTGTATAGAATAATTCATTTAGTTCATACCTATTCTATCCATGGTCAGTTTTATTTTATTGCTTTAAGAAGAAGTCTTAGTTAGAACCTGTACTTTCTCCTCAAACCTCTCATAGATTTATTGTCAGAAATTGTGGGTCAGGTCAGGTTAGGTCAATATGAAAGCTGAAGTCTGTGACTGTAGTGTGAGAGAGGACTAATTTCAGCATGTTGGCCACAAACCAAAGCACTCACCTGATTGGATGGGCTGTGCAGTGGAGAACAGACACCAATGTGGATAAAGAGAAATCTGGGGGGTGGTGATAGGGATACTCGTGGCGGGGGGTTAATTCGTGATGGTGGAACTGTAGTCTTGACTTGTGTCATGTGCATATTGCCCAAGCTGAACTAGTAGCTGTTGCTTTAATTGGCACTAAGCCTTTGCCCTCTGGCCAACATGTTTTATTGACTGCAATAACTTGGCCGAGGTATCAAATGTCCTTTTGTTGCCCCCTGGGTAAACTAGGAAGCCTTTATCTGTGACTTCAATTAGTAAGAGAGGCATTATTTCAAAAATAATGCAGCGCTAAATATAAGCTATTTGAGCTCTGTGAGAATATTTCCAATATCTATGAACACACAGTTAAAAATGTTTTTGTGGAAATTTTCCCACAGCAGCTAGAGTGACTCAGACAGGACGGATAAGGTGAGATAATGTAGTATGTGACAAGTTCTTGTTGTTTTGCATTACTTAAAATAACAAGAAGCACTCCGAGAGCACAAACCTCCACCATGGCAGCTCACTTTCTGGGGAGTATTTACTTTTAAGGGAATCATATTGTATTTTGTAAATGTTTATTGTGTTTTCTTCTTTTTAAACAATATACTTTAAGAAGTTTGGACTGTAGTAAAAACAAGTGTAGAGAAAATATGTGCCCTGTTAAAACCCATTTTAACATACTTGATATAATTCTAATTATTTTTTGTATTGATGTGGATTTTGTTGAATTTTAAGTTTTTGATCATAAGTTTATTTTGTTTTGTCTCAAAAATACTTGATATATATTTAATCAGTTATAACAAGGTCGTTATAAAATTACGGAATAAACTATACTCAAAGTATCCAGTGCCAACATGGTAGTGTGAAAAGCTGTTGTCATTTTAAATAGCTCTATAGAACATTGTTATCACTTTGACCTTCAAATTACTTTATTGATTGAAGGAGGGGTCGAAAGCCAAATGTGTCGTGATGTTTTAAATCTTTATACACCTTCTATATGCTGACAATACACAGCACACTTAAAAGAATAATAGTTATAACTTATAAGGCTTTTTGTCAATTTCCACCTAATAAATCACTGAGTTGACCTTGAAGATCTTGGTGGACGTGAGCCAATTAAATCGTTAACATGACACCACTCTACATCCCTAGAACATTTTATCAGATTTAATTAAACATTTTTCAAACTATGGTGTTTACAGACAGAATGTACGTGTGTGTATATATATATATATATATATATGTATATATATATATATATATATATATATACATATATATATATATATATATATGTATGTATGTATATGTGTATGTATATATGTATATGTATGTATATATATATATATGTATGTATGTATGTATATGTGTATGTGTATATGTATATATGTATATATGTATGTATGTATGTGTATGTGTATATATGCATATGGAGGAAATGTTGATTTAGCTTTACTTTACTTCTTTACTTTAGGTCATAGTTTAAGTATCTAAATTCTTTTAGTTTTAGTCTAGTTTCAGTCGACTAGATATCACAAGATTTGTGCGACTAAATTTAAAGTTGTTCCAGTGACTAAAATACAAACTGTAAAAATTTGTTGTGTTGTGTGTTTCTCCAAACAGTTTACAAAGTGTTGTAGTTTCTTTGAGATCAAATGTGATTTGTATCCATATAACTGCTCTTCAGGAAAAACGGAGTTTTTCACACATATAATGTTACTGCACAAGGATATTACTCCTGATTGGATCACTTCCAAACTCATCCCACCTTTAGGTATTGTCTCACTTTCGTCATAAATAAAAGGTTGTTGACAAAATTAGCGGTCAGCGAAATTAACACTGTTGTACATACATATGTGCATGTTCTAATGTGTACAACATTAGCTGCAACTGTTTTTTTTTGTCATGGAGATAACTGCAGATGGTTTCTGAAACCTTCTAATGTTTCTATTCTCTTTTGTTTCCTCCTCTCTCTTCCTCTTTGTCCTCTCTCTAGTCATTACCTTCAGTCTCAGTCAGAGCCCAATGCCCTGGATGCCTGTGTTTTCCCCCTGAGCAACCGGGTGGCCTCAGTCTCCAAGTGGGACACCTGGCTCCGAGTTGACCTTCACCCTGAACCCCCCAGCCCCAGCCAAGCTGTCCCACCCTGTCTCAACCCCCCTCACTTCTTCTCCTCGTTCTTCTCTTTCTCCTCCCTTCTGGCCCCCACAGGCCCATCTGGACACCCAGTCAGCCTTCTCCCTCAATGAGGGGCAGGGGGAGGCTAAGGGGTCCCTGGACGTGGACCCTCAGCCTCTTCACATTGCCTCACAGGGGTACTTAAGTGAGCTGGGACAACGAGCCTGCCATGATGTGTCAACTCTAACTGGTAGGTCTTTATTTTTTTTAATGGTGGTTTGAAAGTCAGTGTCCTACCTAAATATACAAGTGAACTAAGCTGATCTGCATGTTTCTTCAGTTAATTCTGACTCAGTGTGCATCTATTAAGGCAGAGCTTCCCAAAGTGTGGGGCAGAGCCATTGCAGGGAGGGCGCAGTATGAAAAGGGGAAAAAACCCAAAACGCTTGGACACTGCTAGTACGGGACGCCCACACAAACGCAAAGCAGGAGATGAAGCATAGCTGAATATGTTTCCAAACCAACTTCATTCTAAGCCAAAGACTAGAAAATATGGTGAAGCATATCTGTCCTTTGGTTTCACCTGCACAAGTGTCAAGATAGGTCTCCCCTGCATAATTGGTTTTCCCTGCGTCGGGAGCAGCGCCGGGCTCTTCAAATCACGGACAAACAGGATCCCACATTCTTGATTTTTAGTTCACAAACACTTCTTGTAATGACTAACTACTCCTGACATTTTGGAGATGTTTATACAGCTCTTTATACAGTAAAGTTACAGTGGGATACAAATAATATCAGGCTGATCCTGCCACGATTTGTTCCCCCTGTCTAAATCACGGACAAACAGTATCCCACAGTTTGTCCGTGTGACAGAGAGGCACAGAGAGGCATTTTTTGAAAAATGTATTGATAGCAATGTTGAAAAAACAAAGTGTAAAAACTGAAGATAGAGACAAAATACTGTTAATCTGACTATCTGCCATTCTGCAATTCATCTCATGTAAACAATAACGTGGCGCACAGTGTGACGTGAAAAAGGCACATACCTTTGACGTTGCGTGACGAACTCTGCATTCCTCGTCCACACGTAAACGCAAAACAGGAGTTTTGAAAAATCTCCGTTTTCGGTGATTCGAAACGCCGTTTACGTGTGGACGAAACAGCTGTGTCTTCAAAAATACCCGTGTAGCTGTGGACGTAGCATAAAAGAGTTAGTAGTTTATTTTATTACTACCTGTAATTTATTGCAAATTACTTGTATTTGCTTAATTGTTTACAAAATATTTGAGGTGTGAAATAATGGAGCAAAATATGGGTGTGTGTGGTTGGAGATGTGACTGTGCGTGTGTGTGCGCGCGGGAGGTGGGGGGGAGACATTTTTCTTGTAAAACAAAGGGGGGCCTAGCAAAAAAGGTTTGGGAACCACTGTATTAAGGGATTGCATTGCATTGCAGATTCAATCATCTGTCAGTAGAGGGCAGTGTACACTTGCAGGTGACATTGGCTTTGTTTTGGGTCTTAATGTCCACTTTCTTTTTGTTTTTCCTCTCTCTCATATTAATCCATACACTCATCAATCTTCATTAAAAACATATATGTGCACACAAATAATCCCCACACTCAGACCTTTGTTCAGATCTGCCGGAGCTTGAGATAGTGAGCCTCCTATCAGAGGGTCAACCCAACTACACTCTTCGAGCAGACAGTGTGTTTGGATATGACAACGACGACTGGCTGCACACCCCTCTGGTGCCACCAGAGGTCGTACTGGGACTCACACATGACCAGATTGAGGAAACACTCAAATACTTCTGTGAGTACTGTTTCATTTCAGCTCTGACTGAACTGTAAAGTTGTTGTTAGAAAGGCTATAAAAATGGATTATTGACTTCTTTAACTCTTGTTAAAGCAGCAACAAACTTATTGTACTGTTACTGTTTGTGAAACATGCACAGTGAAGGAATTTTAAAACATTAAACATCAAAACTGTTTCAGTTTATTAATACTCTGGAATGTCTTTGTTTGAAAACTCTCTTCAGGATAAACCATCAGCTCTTCTATTAAAGTTATTACTTTAAGTCACAGGTGTCGAACTCCAGGCCTCGAGGGCTGATGTCCTGCAGGTTTTAGATGTGTCCTTGATCCAGTGCAGCTGATTTAAATTGGTAAATTACCTCCTCAACATGTCTTAAAGTTATCCAGAAGCCTGGTAATGGACTAATCATTTGATTCAGTGGGTTGAAACAGGGTGATATCTAAAACCTGCAGGACACCGGCCCTTGAGGCCTGGAGTTCGACACCACTGCTTTAAGTCATTCCAAAACATACATTATCTTCTTTTTCATTCATTATAAGATTGATTGTTTGTTTGCTGTGGGTTTTTACCTCTTTGCCCTTAGAGGCTGAATGGGTATTGTCGCCACTCCCCCGGGTGGTGCGTAGCGTGGACACCCAAGTTTTGTAAATTCGATAACTCAAGAATGACGAAACTCAGGATTTTGTGATTGATATCGTAGGTGCATGTACTAAAAATCTTAGAATCCCTCTAAGGTCAAGGGCAGGGGTCAGATTTTCTGAAAATCTTGTGATTGAGATAATTGAAGATGTAGGATTTTCTAAATAATACCACACTAAAAGTAAGGAAATTTGTGTTTGGATGATTTTTTTCCTGTTTTTTTACAATGCTTCTTTGCTACAAATCCTATACTATTAGAAAGCCTGTTGATTTTCTCCTTAAATGGTAAGACATTTGTAAGGGAAATTCATTTTTGGGTTGGGCAGCAGAGTTGAGCATGTGGGTTGCTCCCATGAAAAACTTGTCAAATCTTCTCTGCTGATGCCAAACAGCTTTTGTTTGGTGTTGTTTGTTGGATTTGAAGATTGAAGTATGAAGAAACAAGACATTGTGACAATTTATTAATTTAACAAACGGTGGAGGAACCATACACGGGCACAAAAGCTTGACACCTCCTCCTCGTGCTGGTCACGCACAGCTGTGGGACAGCGTCACAGTCTTCTACCAGCATTTGTTGAAAGTCAGCCAGTTTGATTGTGTTATTCATTCTGGAACGAATGCTGTCTGCTGTCTTTGCAAGCTCAAGCTGATCCCACAGGTGTTCAGTAGGGTTGAGATCCTGACTGCAGGCAGGCCACTCCATCCTCTCCACTCCCAGATTTTGGAGGTAGTCTCTAATAAACCCTGCTCTATGGGGGCGAGTATTCTCATCTTGGAGCACAGAGTTCTGTTCCAGACTGTGGAGATATGGGATTGCCACTGGTTGCAGAATCTCATCTTGATATCTCTCTGCATTGAGATAACTCCAAAACAAGCCTTGTTTTTCTAGTGAGGGAGATGTCGCCCCACGCCATCACACCGCCTCCAACAAAAGTAGATATCCTGTTGGTGCCGTAATCAGCATAGCATCTCTTTGACCCTAGGATCCAACTGCCACTGGCAGAATCTGGAGTCATTGCTGAACATAACTTTCCTTCACATTTTCAGGTTCTAGCGCACATGCTGCTGACACCAATGCAAATGGGCCTGATGATGAAGGGTAGTCATCATGGCAGGCCTCCTGGCATCTCTGAAGGCCTCTCTGGAGTGGACATTAGAGACTGGCTGTGTGTGGTCTGTCTGGTTAGAGAGTACCTGGGGTAGAGAAGATTTGCCAACATTTCCATGGGCAGAGCCCACATTCTCATCTCTGCTGCTCAACCCACAAATGCATTAGATGTGGCACATTTAAGGGGGAATAAACAGACTTTCTAACAGTAGTTTGGAAGCTTTATTATACATATTTATTGCTAAGAAGCATTTTTGCAACAAAGAAATAATTAACCAAACACAAATTTCCTTATTTTTCTTTACTACTTTATTTTTTTCCTGTTTATATATGCCGTGAATTGATAAAGGAATTGTGCAATCAGGTTGTCATCTTGTACTTCTGTTCAATCAGATCTCTTTTTGCTACCACAGTCTCCCCCTGCAGGACGTTAGAAAAAAATGCAACTTTAAATATATGTGCACTGATGTCTATCTTCAGACGTTAAAGTCTGTGTTTTATATACAGTCTATGATTATCACAGGCCCTGTTGTGTAATTCGTTCATTTAATACGTAAATGTTTGGTGGCAGTAGCAGGGAACGTCATCAAGCTAAGCTCCTTTTGTGATGTGCTAATAGTTACCCTATGCTAGTTTGTCTCTTCTAGTTGAATTAGCGTGACTCTCTCACTTTAAAAAAATACAAGCATATTTAAAGTCGTACAGTATAATTACAATTTCAAATGTTTTTCCTTCTGTCAGTGTATTCCTTCTACAAGAATGCTTGATCCATGGTCGGGTAGATATTTCGACTGAGATCTGTTTAAGGCTGCCATCTAATCCTGTTTATGTTAAATTAACTTGTTTCCGAGTAGGTTTGACCTTACCGACATATCACTTTGACAACCAACCAAACAGTTTCAGAGAAGAGGTAATTCCAGGATGACATCAGATCGTGAACAAAGCTGTAATCCAGCTGAAACGTTAATCCAAGTATGGAAAATGACCCCCTGACTCAAAGTACCTTTTGTAGAAGTTGCAATCAGTTTTCAGTTTTCCAGCTCTGAGTCTTTATTCAATGTGCACGTTTGCGGTCAATCAAATTATATTTATGCAGAATTGGTTTTGCCATTGTAACAGAAACTGTAGTATCTATGGATTCATGCAAAATTAAGTTCTACTTGTGTTTACAGACGATAGATAAACATGATGATAAAATATTTTAAGTTGTGTTAAAGTTTAGTCTTTCACTTTCCTGAATTGCTGCCTTTTTAGTGGGCTCAATCTCCCAAAATGTTTCATTGTTGCCATAGGGGGAAAAAAAAAGTTTATTTAATTTAGTAAACGTGTACTGACTTCAGCTCCTCATAGTTGTTTTTACCTTTAAAACATCACAAGAATAAAAACGCGTATTGTCACAGGGAAGTAAGAATTAATTAAAATGTAGAGATTGTCCCAAGAGAAAAATCAAACAATCATTGTGTTAATTTTTTGCCTTTTGTTTTAGAGCTCAGTCTTTGCCCGAGTAAAGTTTAGGTTTGGTTCGTTGAACATTAATATGTTACTTTTGATGGTTGGCCAAGAATGTTCTCACGGCCGCTTTGTACTCGATAAGGTACTGAAGGAAAGACAATAAATGTGAAGGCGCGCCTGTCAACATAGTAATCGAAAACAGACTAGTTAGCTGTTGTGCAGCACACAAAGCACGTTTCGGTTTGCTTTGTAAAGATATAAAGGGAACGGTACTCACAAGAGTGAATATGAAAATTTTAATAGTAAGCTGCATTATTGTGTTTATGGCCTATAAAGTTTGGTGAATGTGTCATTGCTATAGTGCATTTAGTTTTTATTCTGATCAAAGACTGGATAAACTAACTAGTCATACAAACTTACAGTTTTCGAGTATTAAACTTGGAATATTAAATATTAAACCTTTCATTTCCATTTATGCTAAATGTTTTATTTTATTATTTTAAATGGAGAATAAATATTTCAGGAAGCTCCTTTTCATAATGTTTAAACTTGGTGGTAAGAAATAAAAAGGACCTTCCATCTCTCTGGTCGTGCTGTGCACCCAACCTCCCCCACGCGCACACACGCACCACATTTAGGTGAGTCGCAGATGTCAAATGTCACTAATCCGATTAAGCAGTCATGACTTCTAAGCAGTTTATGCTGCAGCTCCGCAAACAGCATATCCTAATGGCGACTCTGACATCACTACAAAGACAATGTTGGCAGTCACTTGCAACACTGATGTTAATACATCCTCTGTTTTAAATAAAGTCATCATGAACTACTATAGAGTAGCTGCAAGACTCAATGCATCTGTTGTTATTGTCCTGAAACATGTTGACTTGCTCTCAAATTATAAAATACAGCTGATGAGAGAATCATAGAATTGGATTCTGTAGTTCTTTGAGGTATTAAATATTGAATTAATAATTTTGTTAATACATTTATACACTATTATACTATTGTATGTTTCTGTCATTATAGTTGGATCTCTTTTCATAAGGAATAATTTTATATATGAAGCTAAATATGTAAATAACTGCCCCATTACCTTATATTGTGTTTTTGCTTGTTTCTATATTTTAAAAATTAAAAAAGGAGTTAGAGTGGTTTCCTGTCCCTATAGCCCTGATTTATAGTAATAGGATTGCATGTTTGTGTCCTCGTAATGTTAAATAGGCTCTACCTACGTGATGCCAACCTACGTATTGCTATACGGAACAGGACAGACTAACCTGACCCATGCAGACTGTGCCATGCTGCTGTGGCTCTTTTTGGCATGTGGCATATGGTGTTGTTTGAGTTCTTTACTTAAGCTCACACCCTGCTCCTCTGTGCTCTTTCTTTGTGTTTTGTTTGCAGTCTTGGAGTCATTTGATATAATGCTAGTTAATGAAAAACACTTTTCAATCATTTCTAGGATTGAGATTAAATCTCTTTCTAAATATTGATCACAGTTAATGTTGAAATTGGTGCATATTTTAGCATTGTGTAGAGTATCTGGCGTGTCATCGAATGTTGAATTTGTTTAATAATATTTATGTAATGATAGTAGATCAAACCACATACACAATGTATAAAGGCGTTGTCTCAAGGTGCTCTGTGTTGTAAGGTAAATCCACATATAATCACTGATGTTGACCCCACTCAGTTCATTATTTTGGTTTTTTAGCCTATAGCTTTACTGTTGTACTTTGCTCTTTCTGCATTCTTTGAGCATACAGCTAAAGAGCCAAAAACCTGCTAAGTTTTTGCT